CTTCCAACCCTAACCATTCTATGATTCTATCATTCTATGATTGTGATTCATTATTTTCTTATCAGCCAGAATTTAATTCCCTTCTTCTATGGAAATATGAAAGCCTGTTACGTAGTGCAACATTTGGTATTTGGTGACATTTAGACAAATTTTTATGTAACTCATAAAAGAAGATTTTGCAGTAATTGTTTTTGTATTAGTGGTATCATTATTCAAGGACTTAGGAATGCCAAGTTCAGCACAAGAATTACTTTAGAGGAGAGTTTCAGGATGCAGAGAAGGGTACTATGCCAAGGAGCAAACCTAGTCCAAGCATGGCTTAGAACATTTATTTATTGTTTTATTGAACAGTTTGAGGGACAAAATTTAAGACAAGAAAATACAGTGGCTGGAATTGCTTGTTGTTGCTGATCTTTAAGGTTTTAGAAATTTTTGAGTAGTTTGTGCTTAAGTCTGATTAGAAAATGAAAATGGGGAATAATGTCAGTTAATAATAAGCATTTAGCATTCATTTCAGTTCTCTAATCTTTAACTTCTCTCTCTCTCTCCCTCCCTCTCTCATTTTTAGGTGGGCCTTTTTAGAACTGCGGAAAAAATGGGATTCCAATGGCTAAAGATTATAAACAAGGACCCCCGCTTGGACGGGATGGATGACCTGTCTGGGGTTGAAATTCCCTTGCACTATATATTTAAATTGGCATCTCATGCCATTCACCTGGTGGTCTTCTATGAGAGGAGTGGTAATTATCTGTGGCATGGCCCCCTGAGACTCAAGCAACATATGGACAGAAAGTTTGTGCATTTCCGGAAACTCCACTTTGGTCGCTACCCTGGAGCATATGAAAAGTGAGTTCAAAACAGAAGAGAGAAAAAGCCATAGTGGCACTTCCAAAATAACTTTTTTCTCCTGTATATAAAATTACTCTCTTCCCTGAAGTCAGGCTGTAAAATTTAGCTCATGTATGGTTCAGCCCTCAAAGTGCAGGTAAAATAAGGTGTGAAGGTAAATCTAGTTCTATTTACCTGAAAACAAGAGCTTCTCACTGTTTATAAATTAAGAACTGCATTTTAGAGGAAGGTGCTGTGTAGCCAGGTTGGAGCAGGTAGAAAGATAAGTCAAAGTCATCATGACTGAGGTTGATTGTCCCAAAGGGTCTTCTGCTAGCGTCAGTGGTTTACTTTTAATATATTTAAAAGCTTGAAATTTGTTGATAGCCATCAGTGCTATCAACACAGGGGTAAAGTAGAAGTGGCAGGAGATGTAGTACTAGCTGATAGATACTTGTTTTTCTTTCTGTCACGAGATGTATTCAAAAGTTGAACATGGATATGTAACTTTAAATGAAAAGGGGAAGCAACAGAAATCCATTCAGTAACAGGCCAAATAATCAGTGTAAAAGAACATGAATAAAGAGAGGTGACATTTGTGCCACAAAGACATGTGTGAACCATTGCATCTCATCCTCACTTTTAACGTGCTGAGGGGACTCCTTTCTTGCATAAATGTTTGAATTGGTGGTGTTATTTGTCCATAGTCTTATGCTTAAACTTTGCATTACATTGGTAAAGTACTGTAAATGTCTGCCTTTTCTTACAGTGCTTTCAATAGCACTATTTCAGGAAGTACAGACCATTGCAAATCTTATCACTATTTTCAAAGCCAAGCACATACCACTACGCTTTACAAACGGTGTTACTGTAGGGTATATATGCCATAAATCATGTAGATATGCCATAAATCAGAGAAAAATAGCCAAACATTTCAGAGATCAAAATAAATCTATTTAACTTTTTCCTTAAAATTGACACCATTCTTTCTTCCTTTTAAAACATGGAATCTGTACTGGTTATGTGCCTAAACATTTGAAGCTGGTGGTGTAAGCTGTTAAATAGTGCATTTCATTCATTGTGAAGGCTGAACAGTTTTTAAATTTTGAATGCAAATAGACTCAAAGTACAGGGTAAAATTTGGTTCTTAACTGCAACCCATACCTAGATAACTAAATAAATAGCCTGAATTTTCAAATGTACTGAACAACAGCTCTGAACAAATTCAGTGCACGTCATGTAAAGGAATCGATGATCTGATGAACTAACTGTATGTTTATTGGCATAGAATTTCTTTAAACAAAATTTTGAAGTGTATAGGGAATTTCTTGAAGCTTTTGTTGCTCTTTTATAGTTGTTTTTGGGTGTATTTGGACAGAGAAATCACTGCCAGTAGTATGCATTAAGATTTTAACCTGAGCTAGAGGAAAAAGTGGCTTGTGGTTTGTAAAGGAATCAAATATGGTAATGTATCATCTTTGTTTTCCTGCAGGCCAGAACTTCTGCTTGTTTCCATTGATGACTTAAAAGTTCAAATTCCAAAAAATCCATCCAGTTTTCTAGAGGAGATGTCACACTCTAGATTTCTTGAATGTAGGTACAGAGAAGCTCGGGCTTTCTTTCAGGTTAGTGGTAATCAGGTAGTGTCTCTGAGATGTAATGTATATTTTCATTGATTGACCCAAACCTATAAACACTGTTTTTTACCTAGATGGGACTATTCACATACATAAAGCTAAATACAGCCTCTAAGACTCAATCCACAGAGTTTAGTAAGTGATAATAAAACTAAAACTGTAACTGAAAGTCATGGTCTGTCTTTTTTTACTTGTGAGCACATTTTTTTCCATTTTCAAAAACTTTGAAAAGAAGAGGTAGCCAACATGTCCATAGTTCTCACACATTGTTACTATTAAAAAGATTTCATGTAAATAAAGCTAAGATCTTTTGGTTGAACATTTTCCTTATGGCAGTTCTCAAAGTTCTGAGTAATACTTCATTTTACATTATTTTGAACTGCAGTTCCATGTTCCTAGTTCAGTTTATTTGAAATGGTATATTCATTCTGAAATTACTGACTTTGTTGCTTTTTGACCATATAAGCTAATGTTATCACCATTTAGAGTATTATTTTTAGAATTTTGCTACCTGATTTAGCAGATAATAGAAAACTTTCTGCTGCAATTTGGGAAACATTTCGTCCCAACTTGAAAAGGACTGAGTTACAGAGCAGTCAAGAGTTACCACAGTCAAAACTGTGGAGTCAGAATCAGATCACTGAATTTGAGCCACCTCTGGCTTCATGGAAGGGGAAAAAAGAGGATGTGAGGTTCCATTCTTCAGTCATTTGAGGTCTTGGGGAAGGGACTTCCTCAAGGAAGGGAAGACCATCCTTGTTCAGTCTAGTAAGCTGCTCCCTATATGTGTTGCAGGAGGGTTACTATACCCAAGGGTACTTGTATGTTGTAACTTCACCTATAAAGGACAGAAACTGTTAGCATGCTCCACTTCAGCTCTAAAACCTCCAGGCAGTAATCACCACAGGCAGAGAAAATGTGACTCAGAAGGTATATTGAACTTTGCTGGATCTTTAATACTGAAATAAGCAGCTGGCATCTGTTTTGAAAAGGAAGTATTCATTTCAGCTGTTTGTTGCCCAAGAGCTTTTAATGAAATAAGTTGTGAAGCTGAGTGGTGCATTGTTTCTGTGCTTGATGTGATAATATGTGCCCAGACTACCATGTCGGTTTTGGCTTTGCATTAACAGAACATTTTGCTGTAGCTGTAGCTGGAAGATGGGCATGGTTTTGTGTTCGCTTTGTTTCTACTCTATGGCAGAAGTTGTCAACATTCAGTTGTAACACTTGGTGGCGCCATATAAACTGATGTGTTGGAAATAACTCTGTCTCTGTTTTCCTCCGGACTCTGGGCATTGATTTCAGCGTGTGCAGAACTAGGGTTCATCTGTGTTGTTGCCGAGTGCTGGGATCAGTGTCTAGTGCATATATTCTTAGTCTATTTCACTGTGACTTTACATTCTGCTACTTGGGAAAAACTGAAGATTGATGTTTCAGAGTTTAAACTTTAACTTGTCATTCCAGTACATGTTCTCAAACTGGGCTGTGTATGTGAAAACAGATACTGCCCAGATATTAGTTAAGTAAATTTTTAAAAGTTTTTTTTCTTAGGACCTGAAAAATGAAGAGACAAGTTTGGTCTCTGACAACAGCTTGCTTACTTTTCCTTTGCCTTCCAGCTGTATCCTGATGATGCCTCTCTTGATGCAGTGGAGTTCAGAAAAAAAGCAAAATCCTTGCTCCATCTGGCTGCCCTGACACTGAATAACTTAGGAGTAAAGTTCTGGCTGAGCAGTGGAACATGCCTTGGTAAAACATTTGTGTTATGTTACATTTTTAAACTAATCTGAAACTTTAAATATTTCATCCTGTATTGCTTGTGATGTCAGCTGAGGTTAAATGTACCAGGTTGGAAGCTAATATGTGGCATTAGCTGTACTGAAATAGGCATTTTTACTCCTGACAATATGCTTTTTCTTTAGAAACCTGAGTCTTGGAGATGCTGAGCAAATTTCCAGTGAAACGTTTAATGTTAGCGTTATCTGTGTTGTGTTGATCACTGCTTAGAAAGTAATCAGCAGTTTCCTGAATTGTGTGACTTGGAATTTACTGAAATGCTGGTTGGAAAACACACTGAGGGACACCTATTTCTGCTGTCCATGTAAACTCTCACCTGATTTTTTTCCCCATGCAATTTGGTACTTACCACTGACTTTTAAAAAAATAGTTTAGATTTATTTAAAAACACATCCTTTTAACAAAATATCAGCCTATTACAGTAGGAACTGCAAGTTTTCAATTCTGCTGAAGATGGACGTAGTATCTTATCAGATTATTTTATTATTGAAATAGGTTATGGAAATTCATGTGTGTGCACATTTGGTTTGTGTTTCTTTAGTCCTAGGGAATATAATTTTCTGAATGAACAGTTACTAAAGGCTGGTTTAATGAAATAAAGAAAAGGATGTCCCACTTCTTGTTTTACTGTTTTGCAGTGGTGATTGAAAGATGATTAATGGCCCAGATACTATTTAAAATAATAGTTTCAAATTAAAAGCACAGCTATAGCTCTGTAACTGTTCATTGCTGATTAGATTTGGTCCCAGATAAAGAATATTTTTTCTTTAAAGACATTTAAATTAGAAAATTGAAGATATTTTAGCTTCAAAAACATTACTGTTTTCTCTCTCATTCTTGGCTTTCTGGAGGAAAGACCTGGCTATAAGTGCAGTAATATTTGTTTTGATTTTGATTCATTTCATACTAGAGAAAGGCAGAAGTCTTGTTTATGGCCTTATTAAAAGATCTCTGCTAGGTGACCTCTAGTCAGTTCATTTTTATCTTGCTTTTGTTCTATTGATATATTTCTCCTGAATTAAGTAGTTTGGTTTTTTCTCTTTTTTTTTCCCTCAGGCTGGTATAGACAGTGCAATGTCATTCCTCACAGCAAAGATGTGGATTTGGGAGTCTTTATAAGGGACTACAAAGCAGATATCATTCCAGCCTTTCAGAAAGCAGGATTACCACTGAAGCACAAATTTGGCAAGGTGCATAGATAATGAACAATTTACTTCATGTGTCTTTCTGTAGGTTCGTAAGTTTGAGTATGGCTGCAGATCACTTTACATAGAAGTGGGTATCTGAAGTTTCCTCAGCAGGCATTTACTCACGAAGGTTTTACCTAAAGATACAATCTTGTTGATTTTTGTTGTTCTCTCAGACAATGTGTGAGAAATACCCTTCTTACTAGCTTCAGCCCCGTTTGGGGAGTCTGAATTCCACCTCAGAAGATTTCACTAAGTTTTAAAGGGGTCTAATCTGTGTCAGTGGTGCTAGGGAAACGTGAGGATCAAGGCAGAATTTAGTCTTTGAGCTTGAGTGGACCTCATCATATGGGAGGATTGGTGATAGCTCTGAGATTATCTGTAGCCCTGTATGTCAAACCAGCAGAAAGGGAAGGGTGGCTTGAGGTGGGCACTGGACTTGTTCATTATTAGCTTCTGTGGGATTTATTTAGCTTTTTCAGAGTGTAGGCTGTGGAATGGTAGAGAAAAGAAACAAAATTACAGGAATATGAAGGTTCAGCCACAGTTCAAGTGATATATCATTACTAGTGCTAGCAAGTGTTTTATCATAAAGGAAGTGTGTTAAATGAAGACACCTACTTATCATGTGTTTATTCACTGAGATTATTTGGTTGTAGCAGAGGACAATGAGATGGTGTGCTGAAGCTCTTGGGGCTACAGAGAGAAAAGAAAAAAATAGTCCCATTGAGATGCAGAAAATTTCCAATGTTCTCAAGGCATTAAAAAAAAGCATAGTTAGTTTATTTTCTTCAGTTAGTATAGGAATCACTGCATACCTGACCAAAATAAATTTGTTTTCTGAAACCTGCTGACATAAGTAGCCTTATATTTTTATGAGTATATGAGTGTGTATTTTTGTCTTGCAGGTAGAAGACAGCTTGGAACTCTCTTTCCAGGGAGAAGATGATGTGAAACTTGATATTTTTTTCTTCTATGAAGAGGATGACCACGTATGGAATGGAGGAACTCAGGCCAAATCGGGCAAGAAATTTAAGTATGAACTGGATTTGTACCTCTAATAGGAAAGAAATTGAACAAGTTAGTGTTTAGTGTTGGCATTTTGGGTGTTGTGTGTTGTTGTCTGGCAAGGCAGACAACACTTTTCTTTGTGGAAAAGGCAGTTGTTGGGAGAATCAGTGGATATTTTGCACTTTGAGACCAGAGAAGCAGAAAGAGAACAGCACTATGCCTTACTGGAAAGGTGCTAGGCTTGTCAAATGTCAGTTCTCTCGTGAAATCGAAAGCAATGCTGGCATGTCATGTGTCAACCAGATCTTATCTGGACTGTGGTAAGCTCTGAGTTAAACAGCTAAGATGAGAAAGAAGTCTCTAAAACTGTGTTTGTTGCACAAACTAATTTTGCAGTGAAACATTAATCCTTAGACATCCATCTTGATGACAGAGTGTTATGGCAGAAATCCTCAACTGTCCTTGCAAAGTAAGCCCCACAGTTTTGGATTCTGTGGTAGTGATTTGGAATATTTCATTGATTGTAATGTTGTGACAGCAATGCAGATGACTACTGCAGACCTTGTTGCTGTTCATGTTCTGAAAATGGAATTTTAAATAGGATCCTACGTTTCTTGCCTCATACCTTTCAGTATTAAATCAGCAAATAAGTACAACTTCCTGATCTACTCAGCAAACTGAATAAAGGTTTGATAATTAGATTTGTTTCTTTCCATCACCCACCTTAACTCAGAAAGATACAATTGCAGACTAGTTGAAAACCTTGTTGACTTCTGTAGGATTTCATTATCTTTCATATTTTGCCAGAACTGTATTTGCTTATACTTAGCTAATGGGAACTTAGCGAACACTGTGATCTGGCTGGTGATAATGTCTGAGTCCTAGTTTTCTAGGACTAGTCCTGGTCTTAGTTATCTTTGTTATGAAAGGATAAACAAAGACTGGGTAAGATACGTTGATGACCAGAGTTGAAAGCCACACTTTCAAATAGACTAAAGGAAGAGCTCGTGGGATATTCCCACAGAAAATGTGCTGTGCTGCAGAGTATTTTTCTTAAAATAGAGCAACAATTTCATAGTTTTCCAAAGTAGGCTTAGTGTCTGTTTTTCCATACAGGATTTCAGAGGATTTTGTGTGATGCATTCTGAGGAGGAAGCTGACCAGTAAATTCCTTTCCTTTCCTTTATGCTTCTGTGGTGTCTAGATTGCAATAGGTCTTTCCATGCCAGTGGAGTTGACATGCTCTTCAAAATTCCATTGTAGCATCAGACCTTGGGTACTTGAGATCTGTTTTCCCACCACCGCCCCTTTGATACGACTGGTCCAATGCATGAGAATAGAAGGTAGATGTGAACCTGTGCTCTGTTCCACCTCCTGTATCCTAGGATATTACAGCTCCTTTGGAACTCCAGCTTTCGTAAAACACTTTACTTTTCTTGTAGCCTAGTACTTGTTTTTGGTGGCAATTTTTTTCAAAGTTTACAAATGTGGCTTTCTAGTTCAATACAAAATGATTTGCTTAAACACAGAAGCCTCTAAGAAAGCCTCTAATTCTGAACTGATGTTTCTTAGGCATAGTTTACTGTACTTAATCCATATAGAAAAGGAGGAAAAAAACCCTGCTTGTTTACTGTGACAAAGGCCTCGAGCCCTGACAGTACATGGCTGTTCAGAATGCTTAGCCAAATAATTCCAGATATGTGTTATTCAAAATACCTTCTCTGAAAAAGAAAAAAAAATCACAGCTTTTTAGATGTGAAATATGATGATTTTGGGTGCTTGATCTGAATGCCTGCAACACCAGAATGACCCTCAACTTTGCTTAATCTTCAGACCTTTCAAAATTTTGGGGAAAGGTAAAGCGAGGAGGTCAGTCAAAAGAGGAATGGTGGTTTGATCATGCTGAATCTTAAATCCACTTTAACAATTTTAACGGAATCTCGCCAGCTGTTTTTGTGGTGTCGGAAGAGATATTGGTTGCTACTAGATGATCACAGATAAAAGTGGGAGTTCTATTCCAAGATATTTATGTATTCAAAAATGAAGGGTAAAAGACACTTTCTTCAGAAAGCTAAATATTTAGACAGGCATGTTTTCTATACATCTTGCTAAATAAAAGAATAGAGAATGAAAGAATTTCTCATTTAGTCTCTAAAATATTTTTCATTAGTCATTTTTAGTCTCTGTTTCCTTGGAGAGGTGTTTTTGAAACCTCGCAAGTCTGTCTGCATGGTTTGCATTTTCCTGTACGCAGATACTTGCTCAACATTGCAGGCACAAGCAAGCATGCACATCCTCCTTATCTTGTCTTGGAGTTACAGCAGTTGAGACCTCCTATTTCCTTACAAAATTAATGCTGGACAGTTGCATTCTTCAGCAAAGAATAAGCATTTACAAAAACTGAATCTGGCAATCAAATCCATACAGTATATACTTTAATCTTTAAAATTAGTTAATTCTGTAGGTTCTTAACATAGAGGACTTTGTGTAAGTGTAAAATTTTTTCAGTACTTTTATGTCCAAAGAACACTGACACTGAAATTGGAATAAAAATAGTGAGTCATGTAGATGCACAAGAATACATAGCCTTATCCCAGCCACTTGGAATGAGCAAATGATAAGCAAGGATTCCAGTAGTGTGAAGCATCAGTGAAAGCTGCATTTTTTTGTCGGTGAATATAAACATTTGATTTTAATAATAATTAAATAATTATTTTGGTGACATTTCCAACTGACTTTTTAATTTGCAGATTTGTTTATTTAAATTACCTGTTCATTCTCCTTAAAATTATTATTCAGAGTTCACTGTCTGGAGGATCTATTATTTCAGTGGTTTGCTGATAGCTTTTGCATATGCATGCCCACTGCAGTTCTGATAGATAAATGATTTCTTGGGTTAATAACAGCTAAATAGCTATTTGGTGATTATAGATCCACTAATAAAATTTGATTATCTTGTTTTCCCATTGGTAGCTGGCATTGTTATGCTTTTTGGTTTAGTTTAGAGCTAAGTGATTACCTATAGGTGGCAGAATGTTATGGGAATAAGCAGCAAAAGGATTAGAAATGCTCCTTCTTAAGAACACGTGGTAAATGTCAACCAGTTACTGTTGATAATAACACCCTTGTCCAGTATGTAAATAATATTTCATAGATAAGAACTTACAAAATAAGAAAAAAATTATTATAAATGTAACATGGCCACTCACTGCAGTTGCTTGCTTTCTTCATGAACTTATTTAGAGGTATATTTCAGTCTTCTGCCAGTGACCATGTTCTTTTGTTATGACCCAGGTATCTCTTTCCAAAATTCACTCTGTGTTGGACTGAATTTGTAGAACTCAGGGTACATGTGCCCTGTGAAACCCTTCAGTATATTGAAGCCAACTATGGCCCAAACTGGAAGGTTCCTGTGAAGACATGGGACTGGAAGAGCTCACCATCCAACGTGCAGTACAACGGTGTCTGGCCTGTTGATGAATGGGACGATGTCATTCAAATTTACTGACTGCCTGACTGCTAACAGAGCATGCCTGCTATCCTTGAAACTGTCAGTTTGTAATTTCCTATTTCCCTAAGGCATCGAGATCCATTCCTGTTGTAACTTCTCATCTGTTTCCTGAGGAGACTTTTATCGTTTTTTTGCTTAATAGTTTTTTTTTCATCTTCATCATGCATTTTCCAGGTAGCTAAAGGAAAAGATTAAAGGCAACTGAAGAGAATGGAAGCTGAAAGAAAGGCTGCTCAAAGGGAATAGAGAAGAAATGTTGCAGTAAAGTTATGAGCAGTTGACTATTTAAATGTAAACAGTGGCCACGTGGCTTAGACATTCCTGGGATCATCAAAACCTTGGGACTGTTCACTTCTCAAGCTTAAGAGAGGGATGCGATGGAAAAATCCCAGAGAAGTTCCTGTGAATATTCAACTTTTAAGCACCAGAGTTACGAGTACCTTCAAATGTGCTTGATTTGAGACTGATGTATCTCTATGCTATGCAACAGGTTGCTCTTGGAATTTTTCCCATCTGACCCACCTGCTTTACATGTAGGAGGTACTGGGTAACGGTGTAATACTGAATTGATGTCAGGAAAAACTATCCATATCAGATATCTTCCAGTAACAGTTGAGTTTTTCACAAACTAACCACTGCATGCAATTATGACAGGGAATGTTACCTGGTTTTTGTTTCCTTTTTTTTTAAGAACATGAAGGTGTATGTCGCAGGGATGTCTTTCCCATGAAAAAATAAATAATCTGGTTTTGATGTCCCAGTTAGTGTGTTCTCCCTGTAAGAGTTTTGACCAGATTTTAGAAAATTATAGCTATCCCTGCTTTTTTACAAGTAGATAGAAATGGGGGTATGGATCGTTTTCTGTTTAACAGGGGCTCACAGAACAGAGAGGTCTCAGAGAATTGCATCTCTTTTCTCTAAGTGTAACAGAAATGTGTACAAATACCAACTGTTCCATCAAATGTGCAGTAGCATCACTGCAAGTGAAGTGTTAGTGTAACATGAGGCTTTGGATGAGAGGAGAGTGGAAGCCAAACATCTCTCTCCTCCTGCTTCTGCTTTGGTCAATGAAGTTAAGCTTTCTTCTTCAGTAATTTGGAGAGGGATAATAGTTTTCATATGAGTGTGTATGTCCAAGTTTGTTCCAGTCCTCCTGTGCAGGGAAGACAAAAGCACTAGAGCCGCTAGTGAGTTATGACAGTTCTAGCACTGGTACTTGTGAACCAGTGTCAAGGTACTGAATAGAGCTTGTGTTTACGTGCAATAAACCTGTATCCATTCTTTCCTTACTAAAGCAGAAAGGCTACCTATGACTCCTGGCTTTTCCGCCTTTCACTGGGTAGAGGTAGGTTGAGTCTGTGGTTTGCGTTCTGTTGATCTGCAGGTTATGGGTCTGTATTCAAACCTGTACAGTTCTGGAGAGATGAAATAGCTACTGCCGTGTGACAGTTTTACCATTGTGTCATTCGAGGTACACTCTGGGACTTTCCTGCTGTTTTTGTTCTGGAGTGTGCTGCATTCTTTTTCATGCCAATCCTCTCGGTTCCAGCAGTCTCCTACCACTGAAGCACTGGAGTAAACTGTTCAGCTTTCGAACATCTTTGCCACCAACATGGATAATGGGATCAAGTGCACCTTCAGCAAGTTTGCCAACGACACCAAGCTATGTTGTGTGGTCAACACACTGGAGGGAAGGGATGCCATCCAGAGGGACCTTGAGAGGTTGGCCCATGTGAACCACATGAAATTCAGCAAGGCCAAGTGCAAGGTCCTGCATGTGGGTCAGCTCAATCCCAAATACCAACACAGACTGGGCAGAGAATGGATTGAAAGCAGCACTGAGGAGAAGGACTTGGGGGTGTTCGTGGAAGAGAAGCTCAACATGACCCAGCAGTGTGTGCTTGTAGCCCAGAAAGCCAACCGTATCCTGGGCTGCATCAAAAGAAGTGCGATGTGGTTTAGGCCCAGCTGGCAGCTGAGCGCCACACAGCTGCTCACTCACTCCTTCCCCGGCGGGACCAGGAGGAGAACGGAAAAAAAACCAACAGCAAAAGCCTCGAGGATTGGGATAAGGGCAGTTTACTGGGACAACAAGGGAGAGGGAAAAACAATCAACAACAGTGCTGATAACAGATATTAACAATGGGTGATAACAGAGAACAATTTACCGAACCAACGACCGACTGCCCATTCCGGAACCGTGCTGAAACTGCACGCCCCTCCCCTACCCGACTAGCCCCCCCTTTTATGGTGAGCATGACGTCACATGGTATGGAATAGCCCCAGGCCAGCTTGGGTCACCTGTCCTGGCTCCTTGTGAAATTAACTCTATCCTTGCCAGAACCAGGACAAAGTGTGAGCAGCAGGTCGAGGGAGGCGATCTGCTCCTCTACTCTGCTCTCGTAAGACCTCACCTGGAGTACTGCATCCAGCTCTGGGGGCCCCAGTACAAGAAAGATATGGACCTGTTGGAGTGAGTCCAGAGGAGGGCCACAAAGCTGATCAAAGGGCTGGAGCACCTCTCCTGTGAGGACAGGCTGAGAGAGTTGAGATTTTCAGCCTGGAGAAGAGAAGGCTCCAGAGAGACTTTAGAGCAGCCTTTCAGTACCTAAAAGGGACCTACAGGAAAGCTGGAGAGGGACTACAAGGGCATGTAGTGATAGGACAAAGGGTAATGGCGATCAGCTGAGGGAGGGTAGATTTGGATTAGATATTAGGAAGAAATTCTTCACTGTGAGGGTGGTGAGTCACTGGACAGGTTGCCCAGAGAGGTTGTGGAGGCCCCATCCTTGGAAGTGTTCAAAGCCAGGTTGGATGGTGGTCTAGTGGAGGGTGTCCCTGCCTAAGGCAGGGGGGTTGGAACTAGATGATCTTTAAGGTCCCTTCCAACCCAAACCATTCCATGATTCTATGATTCTAACAACAGCTTGCCATGCTGGCTTTTCAATTGGTACAGTAACTTTGTTAGCTTTGCCTAATTAAGAAGAGAGAGATGTAAAATCCTGCTAATGCCATTTACTCGATAAAGTAAACATTACATCATAAGGGATAATTTCTCAGGTACAGTTTTTTGTAATTTTTTCCTTAAAATGAAAAAAGCCAGTGTCTTTATGGTTTTGTTTTTAGAACTCTGTTGTCCTGAACTTCTTTGTTTAATAACATACAATAAGCATGTAAGTTTTTCAAATGCAATAGATGTTTAAGAGTGAAAAAAAAAAGATACTATCAGAGAATTATAATCCTGTTAAATTTTTGACTTTGTAGATGGAAAGACTAATGGAAAAAAAATGCATGTCCCTGAAAGGGAGGATGTTTTAAATAGTTGATTATACCTGTGAGTTATTCTTCAGATTAAAATATTTTCTCTTTAGAAGATACAAGTGTGTATTTAACACTGATTAGAAGAAGGAGAGTCTAATTTGCAAATCAAAGTGTTGTTTCATCCTTAGTTTTGTCATCTTGGGCAGCATTTAACACACTTCATTGCAGTTATGCTGACATAAAGCACAGAAAATAATTTTGAACTGTTTCTTGCACTGCTTATTTACTGTCTATCTTGAACTTTTATTTTTTTAATAAAGACACTTGGACACAACAAAGATACTTGGAATAAAGCAGGTGCCCATATGTAGAAAAAAGGATCCTGCAGTTGCACAAACACATTGCACTTCTGTGTGTCTCCTGTCATGCTTTGTCCAGTGCCCTGACTGCAGATTTCCTGCTTGTAGGATTACATCCCAAGGAGCGGTGTAAACATCATAGCTCTTTGAAGGCACACCTTGAGGCTGAAGCCTTACTGTTCCCCAGATTTAGCTATTTGTTTTCTGTTAGGTTCTCCTGAATTTCCTTCTCTGAAATGAATTCCTAATTCTGTGTTACCTTCTTAACTTGCTGCCTTCATTTTGAAAGTGCTCTGAAGGTCAGGGTAATTGCTAAGGTCTCTTAAATGGCATGCATTTAAGGTCTTAAGGAACAACATGTGAAGTACCTTGACTTTTCTGTAGCAAACAAAGTGCCTTACATATGTGTAACTATTAAAGATAATAGAGTCTATTCAAGGGATGCCCATGAGCCAAGGAAAGGATAGCAAGATGTCCAGAGCTCCAGAATAACTGCAAGGAAAGATTGAAGAAGTAGGGTTGCCTGAAGAGGATGGACCATAAAGAGCCATTTTCAAAAGCCTTAAAAGATGGTTACAAAAGGGAAGGAATGTATGTGCTCCCTTTCCATTATTGGTGGGAAATAGAAGTAAATGGCTGAAATGCAAATTGAGGTTGCCTGCATAGAATAGTGGAGTATTTTACATGTGGAAATGTGTGAAGCCTTTGGCGGTGGGTCTCTCAGACCACATCAGACAAATGTCAGCCAAGTCTGACTGTAGTTAATCCTATCTTCCAGCTGGAGGCATCTTCTATTTTCCATGATTCTGTAGCAGTTTTGAAAAACTTTCTGCTTTTATAAAATGGAAATTGAAATCATCATTCATATATGAGCTTAAGAAAGGTTATATTTCTAGAATCATGCTAGAGCTCAGTACCCGCTTAGCTCATACTGGGAGCGATGGTGAATCACCACCACAGCATCTCGAACACTTGAAAAATGTGATCATTTCCAAAAAGTGCAATGCAGCTTTTCTGAAGGGTATGTCTGAGGCAAACTGAGGCTGAAGAACAATCTTGTAATTCTTGCACAGAACTGACGATGCTTGGCCACACAGGGCAGTGAGCGTCTGAGGGAGATGCCAATGCTTTTGATCTGTCTGGAAGGAATCTTCTGATAGAAGAGCCTGTGTATGTTCCACCTCACTCTTCTTTTAAGGTCAGAAATGGAAGGTAGACAAAACTGTGATGATCCAGATAGGAGAGAGTCCTGAAAATGTGGTTGCATCTTTGTTGTCCAAATGAAAGAGAAGTTGTTGATTTTGTTGTGCCCTTTCCCTTGAAACAGAGTCTGGGAGAGGGTGGTTTCTGGCGTTAGAAGCAAACAGTTTGCATCCT